AAATATTCATAGATGTTACAGTTGGTTATTTGGTGTCTTGGTTTTTTGTGTTGTATAATTCTTTAGCTCCCCTTTTCACCCTTTTGTATCAGAGTTCAAACATGACAATCTCTTTCCATTTAATATCATGACGAATACAGTGTGCTGATCTGCATATGGAATGCTTTGCTTTTGTCGATGATCCATTATAGTCAGTCAATTAATAGTTTTATTGTATGGCCAACCTATTGGTGTGAGCATTTCCATTGTTATCATACATTCTCGTCTTGACATCGTAGGATGTTATGGCACCTTCAGTGTGATCATAACTGGCAAAAGGATCATTGGAGGTTGGTACTTTTGTTAGCAAAGTTTCGCATTGTCTGTATTACCCAATACCTAGTCAAATACACACAGATTCAGGCTACTTAGGCTTTAGTTTGGATGAATTTGATAAGTTTATTTCATAGTACGGCCACAGGTTGATATAAATGTTGTAGATTTCACTGGCTTTGCCCCAGGTCATCCATTAGCCAATGCAAAATGCGTATAGTGAAGTTCCTGGGGTCCAAGTGGGGTGGAACCTTGCCAGGCTAACTGTATATTCATTTCCCACGTAAATGCACCCATAGCGGGCCGATATACCACCGTATACTGTGCCAGTGTCGATGGCGTATATAGGCCCATTAGAGGCTACCGACCCAGCAAAAAGGACGCCATTGGCCACCGTAAAGGCCCCTGGGTAGGTCATTGCTGGGGTTTGCCGTTGACCACACGATTTCTCCTGTATTTGCATCCAAAGCTACCCATGCTCCTGCTGTTGTTGTTCGGTTAGATGGTGTGAGCATGAAGCTTTGGTGGTCGCTGTTAGCAATATTGGTGTAAACCCTCCTCCCATCTGTGGCTGCACCCCATTGCCCTCCTCCTGTCTTGCCACCTGGTCCTGCTAGCTGTGTGGTTTTCATGCGAAACAGAATTTCTTTAAATTCCCTATTGACAGTTACTGCCAACTTTAATGTATTGCATCAGAAAGGCAAAAGAGTAATCTTACTTACATTGAACCAGACTATGTCACCATTGTCGCGGTCTGAGGCCCGGGCAAACCCACTCTTTTGCACTGCAACAGCTACATCACGACTTGTACCATTAGAAATGATAGTGAGGAGCATAGGAGCCTTGCCAAAGTCTGCATCTAAATTAGGTCCTGGAGGGCAGTCAGGATTGTTAGGAACCAAACATGCGAAGTAAAAAATGTCATAGCCCCCCAATTGCCTGGACCATCTGATCCTTCCGGAATCAATATCAATGGCGAGGATCGAATTGTAGTTGGACCATCAGGATTGTAATAGATTTTCTATATATATATACATATATATAGACTGCATATCTTCTCAATATTTAATCTTCATTTATAATTATTTTTGTGTATCATCAAATTCTAATACCCAAATTTTCATTTAAAAAAAATATTATCCAAATAATGTAATTAGTAAATGCTATTGTTTAAATTGATACATTGTAAATGTCAAACAAAACATAAGAGTACTCAGACAGGAGTAAGCTAAAACCTGGTAATGCATCATAGAAGTAAAACAAAATATATCAAAGCTAAATACAACAATTAAAATAAATAAAAAGAAAAGAGATAATCTATTTTCATTCCATGTACTGCACACTTCCACCATGTACAAAACCAATGAAAAGAAAACCTCCTCAAAAGCAATTTACAAGTTATCCAAATTTAGAAGAGGTTTATGTCTTGAACTAGAAGCAAGAAAAACAAAAAAAGAAAAGCTCTTCACTCTGTAGGCATCTCAAACCGACAGACAGGGCAATAGTGGCTTTGCTTCAACCACTTTTCGATGCAGTCAGAATGAAAAGTATGAGAACATGGCATCTGAGATGCTTCTGATCCAACTTTAAGTTCTTCCAAACATATCACGCAGTCATCGCCTTTCACGAGTCTTTCCTCGATATTTTCTTCACCCTTTTGATCACAGTCTCCGCCTTCGACCCCAACCCTCTTCAGCATCTCCTTCACTGATGACTCCTTCGCTGGAACCATGTTAAAGTTGCTTGCTTCAAACTCCGACGCCGATTCTTCTAAAACTCTTCCGATCAAATCCTCGTCTTCCTCGTGGTTTACGTGTTGCACAATTGTTCTCCATATCTCTGTCTGTAAAGCCAAGACTTGACATCCCTTGCTGGACTCCATGTTTCCGATTGTACGTACTTGTTGGATGATATCATCAATGATAGCGTCGAACGCGGGAGAGTCGTGGGGGATGACATGTCTTCTTAGCACGGGATCAAGAATTTGGAAAGCCTGATCACGGTTTCTCAAAACACAGAGATCGAAACCAAGAGTTTCTTCAGAGAATAAAGTGCCCGCTTCGTTGAGATCGATCAATCGATCGGTTGAGCAATAATGGCGCTGGAAGTTGAGTCGAAAGGTGATGGTCAGTTCAACTCGAACGAAACTGGTAGTAGGTAGATCACTACGTCGGTAAGTAGGGGAAGCCATTAGGGAAAATTTCGAGGTGAGAACTTCTCTGTTTGGAGAATCACAATCACAGACAGTCGCAGTGAACTGGAAATTTCAGTTGGCAGTTATATAGGGGAAGGGAGGTAGTTGCTTGCCGTCAAGGTAATCCTATTTGTAATAAAAGAGAGGTAGTTGCTTCTCGCTAGGAAACAAATAAGAGTTTCCTAAAATATATTAAATAGTTGCAGATCGATTTGTCTAATTAGAATTGTAATTTTATTAATTTTTAAGTAAAATTCAATTTTGTTATTACACATTAAAAATTTTGAAATTATAATTAAAATAAATTTCATATTTATGAAAAAAAATAATAAAAAATTCCCAATTTTTGACATTAAGATCCACCATTATCTAATAATACTTTACGGTAATAAAAAATTATATATATTTGATGCAAATAAAAGTAAATTATATTTGGTAAGATTTATTGCTATTTGTAATGGGATTGCTATAAGGCCTGTATAACTTGCTAGTGTTGTGGCAATCTTCAGCCCACTTTCCATTTGATACGTTTGTCACTGTTAATAGGCCGAGATTGGGCCCACAAACAACCAGTGAGTGTTTAGCATGCCACGTGTCAAACACATGACCAGCAACCGATCAACTTAACTACCCCTCGTTTCCCTCCTCCCTCTGTCACAAACGGATAAACCTTCATGGCCACCACTTCTCTTCTCTCGCCGGCCACCACCACTGCCGCCGCCGCTTCTATCACCCACCAGTCCCGGCACCTCTCTTCCAAGTTCCCCTTCCCTAACCTCCTCTTCAAACCCACCTCTCAAACCAACGGATCGATATTATCCACCAAGCTCCACGTTTCCTCCCCAACTAACCAGCCCTCCACGACCAGCACTCCCTCCAAATCTTTCTCCAAAAACCCCAAAGAAGAAACCATCTTCTTCGATGGTGGAGCCCACTACGGTGACCTCATAGCTAATCTGCTTCTGGGTTTCACTCTTCTGTGGCTGCCTTTGACACTGGCTGCAGTTTCGAGAGCTTTTTTCTTGAGGTACAGGTTCACCAACCTGCGGGTGACGGTCATTTCAGGACTGACGGGTCAGGACAGAAGTGACTTCTCTTACAAGGTGATTAAGGACGTGCAAGTGGTGCCACGTTTCATCGGTGAGTGGGGTGATGTTGTCATTACCTTGAAAGATGGGACAAAGGTTGATCTTAGGAGTGTGCCTAGGTTTAGGGAGATTGCAAAGTATTGTTTATCCATGGCTGACAAGCCTGTTGTTTTGAAAGAAACTGGACCTAAAGGGTTCTAGAGCTTAAGCTTCCTCTTTCTTGGAAAGGTATGTAAATTTTGGTTTTGATTTTGATAGAATGTTGGTGTCACATTTTATAGTTTTGTTGGCAAGATGATGGAATCGAAGATAATTTGTACTTGTTTCAATTAATTCCTATTTGATTATATGTGTACAATTGTTGGGTTCTTGAGTTATGAATTTAAGTAGGAAAGTAATATTTTGCTGCAAATCGTTTACTGGCTGATGGTGAAATGCTACTAGTAAATCTTAATTCTTGCAATAAGGAAAAGGAAAAGCAAAATACCAATGAGAAATATTAACATTGCAATCACAGATAGTCTAGGTATATTCGTTTAATGATTTAAACAGTTGGCAGTCCTTAAGACAATTTTGATTGTTATATTTTGGAAGTGTAAAGAGAACTTGAAGTCACGTATCTCTGAAATGATCTTCACAGAAGAGTCAAGGAAAGGCAAAGATCTTAGCCTTCTTGCATTGCATTTTTCAGCAGTTGAACTTATCCCTAAAATGATCTCTGCTGCTTTATTACACTTGACAGAACATGATTATGTTCACAGGGAGCATGTAGGCAGCATATAGTTGAGGTTCTGTGTTTCGGATTATGCATTTTGACTTGACTGCAGATATTTGGTGTGAAATTTAGAGTATTGAAAAGTAGTGGAAGTACCCTGATTAATTTCTCTTGTACTGTTGATTTCTGAGGGATATTTTCTTTCCAGTTGAGAAGTCAGATCATTGGTTGAGGAATTAATGAAATGAAATTGGGGCACCAGAAGATAGGGTTATGAAAATTTAAAGCTCTGTTGAAACAAGAAGCAAGTTGCAAGAAAGAAGAGGAGGCCTTGGATAGTACTTTCGTTGTTCAATCAATCAATTTTTCAAGTGAATTTCTCTGAAAATTTGTGAAGCAGATGATTTACAGGAACTTAAATATAGATCAAAAAGGTTTTGGATTAATATGCTTCACTATTTCTTGAAAAAATTCAAGTAGCTAGCCAGCTAGTTCAAATTTCCTTTCATGAAATAGATCCTGAATAGCTTTGAGTCAATACTCCAATTTTCCAGATTTCTCTGGATATGACATCGATCTTGATGCAACAATGTGGCATATGATCAGTTTGATGGTACCTGTTTCGGTCTTAACTAAAAACCATTCTTGCTAGATTTGACTAATGTGCTGTGTGCACATGTAGTTACATAATCCATCCAAAAGTAATTGATTGTTCCTTCTGAGCAACAAAAAAATGATGATTCAATATGTATATGGATAACTTTATAAAACACTGGGAACTTGTTTAAATTGAGAGATTAGATTTTCCTCTACATATGTTTGTATGAAGATTGCTGTTGTATGCAATGAAAGAAGAAAACTTCAGCAACTATTTAAGGTGTACAAGAATCTTCAGGATTCTACTATTGCTTCTGTTTTGTTTCTGCCATTGGTCGGATCACTCTCATCGGGAGCAATCTTGATCTTAAACAAAAGGGGTATCTGATTCCTGTTTGAAGCCCGTTGCATCACCTGTAGCAGTATGGACTGAAGTCGGGCAGGGGAAGCCTACAAGCCTTTGTAAAGGATTGTAAATGTGATGAAATTTTCGAAGAACATAGGCAGCCTGCAAGCAAGATTGCTGCTAGACATAGGGGAAAGACAAAACAAATTTGCAGCAACCATAGCTTTGTTTACCAAAAGATGAAGCGAAATAAACTATTTAAGAATGCAAAAAAAAAAAAAAGGGCAAATTCGAAGTAATTTCCCATTAGCTGCTAGAGTAAGAAACTGTTTCAAGGTGAAAATTAGAAAACTGTACAAGGTTGTTCCATTTTGATCACCATTTCCCCCACACAGACAAAAGAAAATGTTATTATTAGAGTAACCAGCCTTTGTTTCTCCTTTTTTGTTAGCTCATTTGTGGGGTGTTACCCACCATTTGCTCATGGTGAACACACTAGAAAAATGCTCCAATTCCACCGCCAACCTGACCAGCCCTGCCAATGGTAACCAGAAAAAGTATTGGTATTTTCTCAATTGTTGATGGGTCACGGCAACAGTTAAATGCTCAGGAAAAAAATTTAGGTGATTTTCATTTATTTTTCTTTTTAACAACAATTAGGCCTTTTGTTTTTCCAGATAAAAAGGCCATTTTGTGCCATTATCAAGAGACACCCTTCCCTTGTGTTTGTCATTTGGGACTCTAGCAATGACCCCACAAGGAGAGTTCACTGCACTTTTTTGACTTGTAATCAAACTTTAACTTGCCATGATTAACTTCTTAACCTTGAATTTATAACACATTAACATGCTAAATCAAGAAGGTCAAACTGTTGCCTTGACTTGGGCTCAACAAGTCCAAAGCCCATGAAAGATAAGTGGAAGGTAGGCCCAGATATATACAGGTGGAGTTGAATCCAAAGAGGCAGCAAAGTGGTTTTAAGATTAGACTTGATTAGACCAATGCTGGCCCATGTGCATCTCAGTGAAACAAAAAAAGGGTGCCCAGGGACACTGTGATCATGACAAGTGACAGATGGGGTTGCCGTGGCTCCATTCCAGTTAAGCTTCAGAGCCAATATTGAATGGGAAATCTCATTATTTCAAGCAGGGGAGGTGCAGGAAAAGTAGCCTTCACAAAAACAAAAAACAAGCTCCTCTCCAACTTGTGTTCTGTCATTGAGCGGTGCAAAGGGGTCCCCATAAGGCTTTGAAAGTGAATCATTCATTTGACAGACATGAACTTCAGTTAAAAAAAAAAAAAAAACAACCTTTGAAAGGCCCAATCAAAACATCCTTGCTGTTTCAATGATATATCTGTGGTGTGGAACTAATGGGATTTTACTCATTAGAATCTGACAGAGTGTGTGAAAAAAGGTTCACTGTTAAAAAAGTAAGCAATCATGTAAGAGTAAGACAATTAATTTTTCTCATCCTTGTGAGACCAGCACCAAGCTAAAAGAGTTATGCCTGCCTGTTCTTAAAACTCTGCTCAAATTTCTCTGCAGCTACAGTTCACTATGGTAGGGTGGTAACAATTGCAAGTGTACAAATCAAAGCTTTAGAGCTGGAGAGTATAAATGTACATCAAGTAGGGACAGACTTTCATCAACTGAGGCTCGGAAGAGAGCTTCCTAGAAGTTTCTCAACAAAATCATGGGATTTTTTCTTTTCTTTTTTTGTCATATTATCAATCTTAGATTGTAACTTAATCATAATCCTTTGTCTTTAATTCTTTTGGAAAATACATCTTTGAATGTTCAATGTCCACTGATGCAATTTTCAGACACTGATAGAGGAAAGTGCTCCACTCAAAGAGCAAAGCAGTGTTAAGAGATAATTCAGAAGCATCAATTTAAAACGACGAAGACCATCAACCCAACTTAAACATATTTCCTGTCGACATCACATAAAAATGATTTTATTACTCCATGTATATGGAGAATTGTAGATAGAAAGTTCATGCCTAGTTCCACGTCTTTGGTTATCAAAATGTAGAGTGAACCCTACTCACTCGGGCAGAGTTAAAGAAAATGGCCCAACCTCAGGGCATAGAAAAGAGAAACTGTGAAGCAGCTAGCATTGTCAATTCATTTTAGGGGGAGAGAGGAATATACTTTTGACCAAGTTTCGGCAGTCACCTTCTTACTTTATTATTTTTTATCAGTTACTATTTGTTTATTTAGTTTGGTCAGGAAAAACACAGGAACAAAGTAGGCAAAGAATATTTTGGCTTGAGGCTGATGACTGATAGAGGGGATGGGATCAGAGAGTACAGAAAGATGTGTCAAGTCATAGTTTTGATATAAGAGTAAGGGGAATGAAGGGGGCGGGTCTTGCATCTTTTCACCCCCTGCCTCTGTTGTGTGTTAGGTGAGCTCTTCCATGAACACATCTTTATTGAAAGTTGCTAAAGAGTGAGACCCATCCGCAGAGTGACAGAATGTAAATTCATCTTCAAATTCCCCTTTGCCAGATGCCACTTTGCAGGTTCCTGCTATATATATATATATATATATATATCTAAATGATTAATCCCTTTGTGCATTTTTTTTCCCCTTTTTGGTGCTCTGAGCAGTGTTACCAACTTATGAATGTAACAGTACAAAAAGAACTTTGTATGATTAGAAAATTGACTCTTAGCTCTTTCAATATCATGGACTTAATATTTTTATGTCCCTTTCTAATTGAAAGTTGGAACTCCTCTAAATTGCCATCACAATTCTATAATTTACAAGAATTTAGAGCGTATTCTTAATTATTATACCAGCGGGAAAATAGAATAAGATTTGAATTATTCTTTCGATTAATAAATGAGAATCCTAATCTCAATAATAAAATCTTTCATGGGACCATCAATTTAATCAAATTCAACAATTTCTTATGATTTGTTTTAGCATATGGACATGGAAGTAGGTAGTGTATTATCTCATGCAGTCATAAATTAATCAGTCAAATCATTCCATTAAAAAATTTGCAATCTGGCATGTTGAACAATAGTGTCAAGATCATTTTATTATACACTGGGGAAGCACACTTCCAAGTTCTTTTTGTTCAAAAAACCATGAAACTAATTCTAATTTCCATGTCGACAGTCCACAGAGAACCATGCATGATTAAGTCAAAACCTCGAACTTGAAACTTAAAAGGATTTCAAAACCCTCTTCCTTACCATTCAAACAAGGTCTTAATTATTGTGAACGAAGCTTTTTCGGGGTCCTAATACGAAGTTCAAAGGGGGGCAAACATATACCTAAGAGTGATGATAACATGTGGGAAGGTTATCTAGCTAGTCATGGCAAAAAAGGGGGATACAGCAAACAAGAAGCAAGTGACATAGGAATATACATGGAGAGTGAAGAGGGGCATAGGATTCCCAAAAACCCTTTTCCTTTAACAAGAGCGTGCTTTGTAGAAAAGATAGGGTGGGGGTGGGAAAGGGAGTGAAGTGAAGTGAATTGAAGATATCCCGGCCTAGCTAGCCTTGAAAAGGTGGCTCAAATATCAAAAGAGGGTGCCCACAAAAATGTAGGAATCCCAAGCAAAGAGAGCCCCAACATGCACATAAAGCTAAATATGGATAAAAATAGCATTGCATATGCTCCAATTTTTGTTCCACACGTGGGACCTTTCTCTCCCCCTCTCTCCCTCTTTCTCTCTCTCTGTGTTTCCTTTTCTACATGGGATCAGGGAATATTTTCTCCCACTCAAACAAAATATATATATATATATATATATATGTATGTATATGGGTTCAATAAGAACAAGATTTGTCATTTCACAGAAAGGAAAAGGGAGGAAGAAAAATTAAAAACCCAAAAAGAACAAGATTGTACCTTCACTATGTTACATTTTTAATTTATTCTTCAATTGTTTGCAGTTGAAGAATATCTTGACCAACAAAGCTGATATTCGATGCACTTTTTTGGCTATCAAGCCTGTGTTTCCATTCAATTGGTCAAATAAATGATTGAATTTTGTTTTAACGAATAACATGATTGCTTGTTTGCATGACATAGGTTCAAGGGGAAAACACCATGTTTTTTTTTTCTGCAGACTAGGTGTATACATAGCAGCATTCTTCTAAAACAGACTGGAATCAAGATACACATAGTAAACAAGAACAAGTACCACAAGAGACGTTACAGGATAACATAGAAATTCTCGATTCATTAAGGTTTTTATTTCGATCATACCACCTGCAAATGGTTGTCCCTCTGTAAATTGGTTAGATAGTTAAAGAGATTGATCGATAAAAGAATGACCATGGCTTGATTAATGGGGGTACTATACACCTTTAACAATGATAATTAAAATTAAGATACAAAAAGAAAAGTATCTAACAAAATCGTAAGAAAGTGGCTTGTACTCTTCCTCTAGCTATAACTTAGTTGCTTAATGCATAGCTTTAATTGTGTAGGGTAAAACACACTCTCTTTTCCTGCCTTCTTTTTCGACCTTCTTGTCTACTTTATGCTCACAAAGTCTTGAGCTTTGATCAAGTGATGAATGAAAACAAATAATGAGGGTGGAGCGGCTAAACAAATCCCAAATTGGGGGCCCTTCAAAAGGAAAGTTGAGATTAATTATAGTGAATAGGGCTTATCAATTGG